CTACTAATAAACCGACCACTAAGCCATTTTGTGTGGCGCCCAGCCATGGCCCATCATAACCAACCACACTCACACGAAGAACAGAAGCTGTAGTAAAAATGGATACTTAAAAAAAAATAAATAAATAAAATTCAGCCTTACAAAAATGATCAGCTAGAAGAGAAGGTTAATGACAGGGAAAGATAATAAATGATATTTTGTCACTTGCAATCAGCCCAAATTCGTACAACACATCAACATTAAAATTCTGTTCCCGGTAAAAAAAAAAAAAAATTTCGGTAAAAATTCCAACAATTCACTTGTTCAAATCAAATGAACCTAGAGATAGTTCATCGAAATGTTTTGAAATCATAAATGATAAAAATTTGACTTTCGTGTTCTAGGATGTATCGACAAAAATAAATCCGATTCAATAATTGTCCATCCGAGGATTGATATGCATAATACGTGATTATCGCAAATGTAGACAAGCTAAATATCGGAAGGTAAATAAAAGTTTAATTATAAGATTTAGTTTGCATAAACAAACGAAACCACTTTAATGTGGAAAATAAATACTGAGAACACCAACAGCGTGTTTTTTTTAATGATGAAATTGAGGCAGGAGTTCAAGGCGACTAAGACGTTGCCATGGTTTGTATTTTTGTTGCTTCAAACTACAAAATAAGCAGGAAAAACTAAATCACAAAAATTAATGAGCATTGTGTCTAAAGCGCAATTCCATTAAAGAATGAAATTAACAATTCAAAGTGAAAAAAAATTTACAAATTAGTAGCAGATTCTTTGAAAAAGGAAAAAGAACAAAGAGTTTCGAATTAAAATTAAAGGTAAAACTGAAAATTATGAAGACAATTTTTGTGATGAAGATAGCAAACTTGATTAAACGCTGAAACAGATTGACTAATTAAGGAGAGCAGACGATTCAAAAAAAATTATTAATATAAAAAGGTTGAACACGTTTGCAAAACTTTCAGCAATTAAAGACATACTGTCTGGCTAAATTAGCAAACAATTATTTTTTGGTCTATCCGATAACATTTTTGAAACATGCCCTGTTTTTGTTGTTTTTATTTTTATCAAACAACGAGATTAAATTGTAATGTGAGTGGTTCATTTTAGAATGAAATTTAGCAGTAAAATGGACATTGTTTTTTTTACATTAAGAAACAAGCTTTCATAATTTACATAAAAACTGCCACCTCGAATAAACTAAATCAGAAAATGTCCCTAGTTATGTTTAAAGCAAAGTGAAACCGAAGTTACAAGGAATAATGTATTTTCAATTTAGAATAAAATAAAAATTTCCACAAAAGCATCATAAACTCATCAACCATTATTGAAATTCAAGTAAACATATCTTCATAAACATATATTTAAGTAGAAAAAGAAAAGAAAAAAAAAGCAAACATTTATCAACTGACAGGAAAAAAATTGTTTTATCAAAAACATTATTACTTTCTCAATTATTCTTTGCATTGTTGACTGTTTTTCATCCAAATAAAAAAAAATGACAGAAATTTTATCACAACAGGTTTAACTAAAAATATTATTTCATACTTAATACAAAATGGTGAAAATTATAAAATATCTAACAGATCAAAATGGTCTTAAAATTGACATAAAATGTTACATCTTAGAATTAAAAAAACAAAAAAACAACCTTAAATCATATTCTAAATTCTATTCCAATTAGTTTGATACTTTAATAAATCTCTCCTTCAAAACTTTGGTGCTAACAAAATGGAAATACCTGCTTTGCTCCAACATCAATTAAAATAAAAAGCAGTATTTCTTTTGAATGTAAAAAGCTTAACAACATTGGTCACAAAATTGACAACTGTCATTAATATCCTTTAAGCAATAATTAGAACTCTCTAACTAGAAAAAATTAAGATGACATCCATAAATCAATGGTAGAGAAATAACTATTCAAATCACCATCATTTTACAATATAGTTTCAATAACAAGTAAAAACTAAATACAATTGGATTGATAGTTATGGGAGGTGAAAAAGCTGTTACACTGAAATTATTAGATTCAACTCGGCATTTTTCTTCTGCAGGCAGAATTATTTGACATTTCTGAAACGACTAAGACAAAATAATTATTACAATTACATGCATGTTTACGACGGGGAATCATTAGAGATAAGCAGTGCACTGTATAAGCAAAGAAATCTGTTTAAAGACATCAAACAATGATGAACTTTTTAAAATAAGTTACTCAGTACTGCAATTAAGTGGTGAGATATTGAGAATGAAGATAGGTAAATATAAAAACTTGATATGTTACATCCTAACAATTATTAATACTATAGAAAATTTTTCATTGAGTTACTACCTACATTCAACACAACAGATTTTCTATTTTCCTAATACTCTCCTGAATCCTCAAATTCACCAAATATCTTTTTTATCCATCTGCCATCACATAATTCAAGGACAGACATAAGAGTTTGTAACTGCTAATGGGGTTCAGGCATGTTTTTAGCAAAACTGAATCATTGTTTTCATTTGTTTATCCATACTTGATAATACTAACAAATTTATTTAATTTAAGCTCGCTAATAATTTTAAACTTAACATAAAATCTGAATAAAGACATGCCATTCTCCTATCAAGAGTAGCATGTATTTTTTACAACATAAATGATGGCTTAACATTAAGAATGCAAAAATATTGAATTAATAAAAACCTAAGATTTTTTTTCTTTTAATTTTCATAATTAATCTGACAATAAAACAGAACTGTCCCAAAATTTTATGACTTGATTTGTCTTACGTTCAAGTCCAAATTGTGTATTTTTCTTAACTAAAACAGTAGTAAATCAACCATTCCCATTTGTTTCAATTCATCTTGAAGAGAAACAACCTGGAGTCTTAACAATAAATTTCATGTTCAACTTCAGAGATCCAGAAGTAATGTTCTAGTTTTCAAATCAAAGACAACTTTCTTCACTTCAGTATTTAGAAAAAATTTAAAAAACTGACACATGGTAACTATTTAATCTCGCTTTTTAGATATATTTTATATAACATAAGATTTGTTATTAAACAAAAAAAAAAAAAAAAAAGAAGAGATCCATAACATTAAAAAGTGATAACAAAAACAACAACCAGTTGACAAATTGTTTTCTTTCATTCAGTCATTATTTCATTCATCTTTTAAAACTCCATTTTCAGAGGTGTAGTGACAAAAAATTGAAAATCATACTGTCTGGTTTCAAATGTAAATTTACTGAAGCTTATATGTAAAATTTTGATGCTTTTAAATTTAGAAACATTCAAGCCCCAAAGTCTTGATTTAGGCTTATTAGAAAATTGACAAGTGGTAAAAAGATATGTCAACCTAGGAGGAATTCTAATTTGATAAGATTTTAGGAAATGACTTTTCTTTCCAACTTGAATCCATACTTAAATAAAGATTTAATTCGTCTTAGTTTTATTTATGACAAACGAATAGTTAAATGATAGAATAAGGGATTTTTCTGTTTGTCTGATACTGTGTAATGAGACAGGAAAAATGGTTTAAATTCCGTTCGACTAGTTCCATATATTCTCCTTCACCAATTGCATGAAAGTAATACGACTTTAATCAAACTAATAATTAATTAGGACAATACAGCTGCTTAAAATTGTCAAATTTATAAAAAAAAAAAAAAAAAAAAAAAAAAAAAAGTGATTCCATATAAAAGAAAAATAAACCACATGTAGGTTTATGACAATAAAATGCTTTTGGTACAAAAAACAAACAAAAAAGTACTGCAGAACATGGTCACTTGACCCTTAGAATTTACAAAATGCTGAATTTTAATACCTATTAGTAAAAGTCTTAATTCTAAAGTTAACTAATAATATTCAATCAAATTCTTAAAATTCTACCACATATCACTAAGGGAGGGTACTCAAAATTGTCCCGATCAAAATAAACCTCTGATGTTTAAGAAAATAGCCTGACCTGTGAACTTTTCAGCATCTCCATTTGTACATTTTGAAAGTACATAAAAAAAAGAAAAAAAGTGGAATTTCATTCACAAGGATGACATATGGTCAAAGATTCGCACAAGTCTGAAATATTCAATTGAAAATGAATTAATATTCACTGAAATAATGTATATAAAAATTAAAAATGTTTTCAAGTGAAAACCTCCATTTCAATGTTTTCTGCCTTTTTTATCCCATGGTTAAATTCCGTTAATATTACAATGAAGAAATTAAAATATTTTTAGAAGATATTTTAATGAAGATTAGCATTTTTATTTCAACAATTTGCATTTCCAAAAATATTCTTCGTTGAGGGAAGATGATATTGTAAAAATACTAACTACAATATTGACTATGATGCTTTTTTCTTTTTTTATTATTTTCTGTCTAAAGAAAGATTCTACCTACATGAATAATGCTTTTTTTCTCATCTTTGTTACAAGCGATTCCTTTTTAAGCGAAAGTTGATATTAAGAAAAGAGAATTTTTATTATCTTTTTCCCCAGTAGTATTGCACTTTTTTCTTGTTGGAAATGGGGAAGCAAAAAAAAAAAAAAAGTTCGCTACCCCCAGGGTATTCCTGCTCACCCCACCAACCCCCTAAATCGATTGAAAAAGAAAGTATCTTAGATAAAACATTAAAAATGCTTTAGAAGATAGTGATGGATAAAAAAGTAGTATTTCAAAGTTTAAAAGAAAAACAAGTGTAGAAAGAGAAAAGTGTCGATTGAAAGTGAGGGTCAAAAAAGAATACACGAAGATAGAAGATTAAACGATCCAGAGAGGGATGGGTATAGAATTGGAATAAAATGTACATTATTGTACGTACACTTGTGTTCATTTCCCTCTGATTTAGAGATGAAGTCTTTAACTCAATCAGGACTGATTGTCTTGCTTGACTAACCTTTTTTTTTTTAAAAAAAAAAAAAAAAAGCATATTTTTAGGCTTTACGAAATATATCAAGATATCTCAAGTTTTCATGAAATCGACGAGTACTCGTTAAGTCTTTTCAATAATTAGAAGAAAACGTGTTTTTCCCTTTCTCCGTGGGGCGGAGGAAGAGAGTGGCTATTGTAATGTAATAGAAAGAGGAGAGCAAAGCTTCTGATCATCACAGCTACCACTATGACAAGAAAGGAGAGAAGAAAGAAAAGCGGATGAATAAAATTGCTGCTCAGTGTGTTTTCTATGTTGAATGTTGATATTAGGGTTGCGCTCAATAATAATAGCACGATTCATCGTCGAAGTACAAATGATGTTCCCATCATAAGAGGGATGGTATCTTTGTATTATGATGGAAATATAGCACATTTAATAAGCACGAGACGGTCAACTAGATCGTGATTAATAAATAAAACAATGTTGTAAGCAACACTACTTAATCGTGTCCATTCTTTCCTGTAAATATATAGTTACAGGAAAGAATTTACAAATAAAAGAACAACTAATCTGAGAAATATAGACATGGAGAGGTTTTCTTCTTTTCGCATCTCTCGTAAGTGAGCAAGACCGATGAAAGATTTTTCGAGAGCAGATATTCACGACAGTCAACAAAACATGGACGACGACTAAAGGGAAGAGTCCATTGCAAATAGACTCGCCCAAAATGAGAGTGGGGGGGGACAAGGTAGCAAAGACGTGCGAAGGAAATATATGCGTGTATTATAAAAAAATTATATATATATATATATATATATATATATATATATATATATATGTGTGTGTGTGTGTGTGTATACATGCGAGTATAAACATTTCGCTTATAATTTTCATTATAACAAAAAATAAGTTACTTCAATACTCAATAGTGAACAAAAATAAAAATATGGAGCAAAATCTTTAAAATGTTTTTAAATTAGAAGCAATTGTAATATTTTAATCTCATCTCCAATAAAACGATTTCTTTTTCTAAGTAGCCGTTATGCAATATTAGATTTTAAAAAGTAGAGCAAGCAGGCTAGAAAGCTTGCCAGTTGGTGAACAACTCGTGCTTAGCTTAACAGAGTTAGTCGTTCCCAAAAAAAATAAATAAAAAAATAAAGGACGGAGGGGCAATAAGTGAATTTTACATGCATTGTTTGGTAGATATGATTTACTTACTAAAAGAAGCGTTCTGACTTCTCTTCCACCCCGAATTACAACAAATACCTCTCCACACATACACAAAACTAACAGGTTTTTCATACACACACACACACAAAAAAAAAAAAAAAACTCATTCCACACGGTAAACTACTAACGACCTTCCCCTTGTAATCGAGAGGAGATGGCGATTAATAGGAGACTAAATTTGACGACCAGCCAACAAGCAAGACTGGCTTTAGAAATTAAGATCTCCTTTAGAATTTTATTTTTAATGATAGAAAAAAAAAATACAGAAAGCAACCGACAGTAAAAAGTGGGCTAAATGTATTTTCTCTCCTTAAAACGATTTTTAAAAATGTCCATACCGTCAACTCTCTCTAGTCTTTTTTTTTTCTATAAAAACTAGTGTTCTCGAAAAAGGTTAATAAAAACTAAACGAGAGAAGAATATCTTCAATTCAAGGAAGGCGGCTTTGATTCTAACCTTGTTGAGTGACTACCAAATCCCATCACAATGGATTCGTTTTGGACGTTGACAACGAAACCATGTCTTTTTCTCAGCTAGAATTAAATTTCACTAACATACAACGATGCACTTTTTCGCTACCATCACTTCTCGGTTTAATTTGCAAAACGAAAAGAATGCATATTCGGCAACTCTACAAAATAAATAAAGCACCAGAACTGAAAAAGTAGAAGGCATGAGAAAACGTGAGGTCGATGATAGAAAGAAAGGTGGAGAAGAAAGGCATAAAGAAAAGGATGAAGTGAGGAGCTGATGGTGGCCATAAGGAAGGAAAGAGGAGGTTGGGTCCACTTGGCTCAATCCTTGTTGAAGTTTAATGGGAAAAAAGGAAAGCCCGCTACAAGTCGACCAAACGAAAAGTTCGCTTTTGTTTTTCTATTTTTGCAATGATTTCATAATACAAAAGAAAAGGGATAATTACAACCAGTGAAAGAAATTCCACGTAGAATAGATACAAAATTCGGTTTTTAGAGTGATGAAAAATTATATTCCAAGCTAGCAAAAACACTCAAAGCATTTTTTGGGTGGAGGGAGAAATTCAACTGAATGACGGTACGAGAAAAAAATTGAAAATGAAAACGTGTTTATGAAAAGTATCGACGATGTGTAAATATATAGTCAATAACTAAATAATATCTTATTTTGTGAAGAAAGCCACAGTATATATATCTTTGAACAATATAAAATAAGAATTGAATCAGAAAAAAAAAGGTAACGTAACCGACCAAACGAAGTATATACACAATAATGAGTATTGAATACAAGAAGTAGTAGTAGGACCTAACACTCACAGGTCAACACGACAAGGTACAATATCCTCAGCATTCTGTAATTCGGGACCATCATGTGAGCGAAATAACGCCAATGAAAAAATAATAAAAGATCTATGGAATTGAACAAGAAAAAATTACCTTTAAACATGAGATGATGACGGCGATTTCTGCCTCAATGTAAAAGAAGGGCAGCTAGCGAGAATCACCAGCGGCACCATTAGCTACGTATTCATCCAAACTTCTAACAACATTTGGAAATCCCTTACGTCATAAGCCTCGACCAATCAACATCGAGCGGCCATTTTGAACGCCAATCGAATAACATGGGTAAGTCTTCCGGGTTAGTCAGTCAGTTGGTAGCAGTGGAGGTTTAGAGTCGCTTGGCTCAGACTCAAATGTATTCATGAACATAAATGAAATACAACACAAACATAGTTTGACTTGAATTTTTATCTCGAGTGCACAGAAAACTTGGAATTAAAATGTTTCCTCAAATAAAAAGTCATCGATCCTCTTGAAAAGTAAATAAATCCAACCGAATAAGCACTCGTTGAGAGTGAAACGAAAAAGACTATGAAATAATTTTTGTTACACTCAATAATTGTAAATGCAAAGTGAAGAGAGCATGAGATGAGAATATAGTCATGAAAGTTCTCTTGCTTTTTTAATGAAAATAATCACGCTGAAGTGAAAAGTTTCCAACAAAAAATTGGAAAAATAATTTAAAATATCAAAACAGTTTCCCGTTTTGTGTAACACTAACAGCGTTAATGTTGATTGAGAATGATAAAAAAATAATGTTATTTGTTTTTCTATCTTTATTTTTACACCAAAGGATGAGATCAAATACATATCTTAAAAATTCTGGTTACTAATATTAAAAATTTAACAGAAAATAAGAAAAATAATTGGCATACAGCAACAGAGTTGCTTTTATCCCCGTCATCATCTTTGTTAAAAAAATGTTTGTTAAGTAATTGACTTATTTTTTTACGCCTAACTATTCTTTACAAAGATAAATCAGTTTTCAATTTTTCATGCATACTATCACCGAAATTTTGCCCTCAAATTTACTGTAGAACGGTTCTATACTCAAACAAAATATTCATGTTTATGGTTATTGATTGTTTTCAATCAGTGTAGCACTCTAAGCCTAAATGTTTTTTGTAACTAGTGAACTTAGCAAAAGACTGATTTTATCTTCTAAAACAGAAATTTCCATATAAACTTATGCTTAAAAATTTAATTTGTACAAAAACATACAGAAGGGTAAATTCTCATATTTTGAAATGTTGCATTTAAAAAAAAAATTCAAATATTTTCAATATTACCAGCATTAGATACAATGAGGCCAAACTGGTTTTATTTGCTTTATTATTTATTTATGAAACAAAAATTTGTTATGAAGAATAAATTAGAATAGTCAATAAAAAATTAGATCCCAAAATACATGAAGTATATGTTTATAAAAAAGTTATATTCAAAATAATGATTTTAGATAAGATCCCATCCATTTACTACTTCAAACAAAAGTGATACTTGTTTTGAAAACTTACAATCAGTTTTCCTGATACACCCCTGATTAAAATCTTAAGACCAGATATAAAAAAAAGTTAAAAAAAAATATAAAATACTGTTACTTTAATCACAATATATTTGCAAAACATTTACATTTAATTATAAAATGTAGTTTATCAACAAGTGAACATTTTTAAGCATTTAATTGATTAATTTAAACAAACATTGAAAAAAAAGGATTTGGTGGGGGTCATAAAGATAAGATCACGTAAATAAAAATAGCTAATACAGAACAAATAAGTCACAACGACAATTCTCAGTATATCCTTCATTTTTGCGAATTACTTTGAAAATTCGCTTTGGCATACTTGTTAACTTCTGCATGAAGGTGCTTGGGATGCTCGACCAGGATGCATAAACTGCAGCACGACGAGCATCCAGTTTCAAAATGCGATCCATGTTTATAAGCATCCTTTGCCATCCATCCCGAAATATTGTCGATTGGGTTTCGATCTGGAGAGCATTGTCCTGCTGGAAAATCCAGTTTTCTCCATATAGATGAGGGCCTTCAATAATTAGCAATGCCTTTCTTAACATGTCAATATAACTAGCAACTTTTTGATGGCTTTTTACCTCAATTAACTCAAGAGTTCCATTGTATGAAAATAAATCCCAGACCATAATTGATCCGCCTCCACTGTGTCATGTTGAGAAAATTTCTTTTGCATACTACTAATGCTGAAAACTGTCTGGGCCATCATTTTTTCTCATCTGAAAACAACACTTTCTTCCATTTATCCACATTCCAAGTTTGATAATCGGAAGCAAATTGTAAACGGGAGGTTTAATGGCAAAGAAGAAGGCGAGGCCTCTGCAGCCACTTCAACCCTTTCTTATTTAAATGCTGTGGAATTATTCGAGAGCTGCATTCAGCATCCATATTTGCTTTTATCTGATTTGATGTTAGGCTTGAATCTCTCTTAACTACTCACCTAGAAGCATACGCATCCAGATTTTTTATGAAGTTAGCAATGATAGTTCTGCTATGGCCAATTTCATTTGCAATGACTTGTGAAAGACCATATCTTTGAAGTTCAACAGTCCTGTCCTGTTCAAACTTTGTTAAAATTTTACTCTTAGCCATTTTCAAATCTGAAATTTAATACTGGAAATGAGCTATGTAGATATCTACACGCCTGAAGCTATGAACACACTGATTAGTTTTAAAATTTTTGTCCAGTAAGTAAGTAAGTAACAGTATTTTATATATTTTTTAAAGCCTTTTGTATCTGGTCTTAAGATTTTGACCAGGGGTGTATTAATGTTCTCCAACTGCATTGATTTGCTTGAACAAATTGAGCAAGTCAGATCAATTAATAAAATGACAACAATTCCATGATTCAAGTAAGAAGATTTAGAACCTTGAGACCCTATGTGAAGATTTTGTTTAATAATGGGACAATAATGAGCACAGGAATATCAACCCCACTTCACAACCATGTTCTACAAGATTAATCTGCTTGCTTTCACTCTGTAGCAAGCATTCACATGCATGTAGATGGTAAATGAAATGAGAATTCTAAGAGCTTTTATCAGGGCTATCAGCTTGGCAAAGGCAACAAGATAAAAAACTATGCATTTCTCTTTAAATTAAAAGAATGTAGTATGACCTTTTCCATGAATCATCTCAAAATGATTTTTTAAACGAATTAAGCAAAAATTATTTTTAAAATTGTTTTGGCCAATCACCAAGCAAGCAAACCAGTTGTTTTTGTCCACAATTATTGAAAATGTAATAGATTATAATTGTTATTTTGGAAATTTGAGGTTGCTCAGTTGCAATTAAATAGTTAATGTGGTAAAGCCAAATATTTCACTTGGAATTGGTTAAGTCTTAAAAACCTTATAGATATTAAGTACATCTTCAAAAATACAAATAAAATTGACTAAAAGTCAACCAAGAAATATGTCAAATGTTTTTCAGATTTTCACTGATGATTTTTGGGAACTTATATCTTTGTGTTCTATCATTAATTTAATACAATTTGTCCAACCATTGCTGAATTGTTTATTCTTTATTTTACAGCTCTGATAATGTTGTGAAAACATTGCAATTAAAAGTCATTTTATGTTACAAGTGGAAAAAAGGACTGAGTGCAATGGCAGTGGTAAAAGAAATTAATTATGTAGAAGGCCCTGGAACTATAAATGAACATGTAACATAAAACTGGTTCAGAAATTGACACCAGCCTTAAAGACAAACCAAAGTCAGGGAGGCTTTCTGTTGTGGAAAATGAGAACTTGTTTTAAATGGTTAAACAACATCACAAGCACTCATACATTTTTGGCAAAATTTGTTCCTTCACAAAAATCCATCAGTTGACACCTCCATAAGTTTGGCCTTATGAAGAGACTTTGTCAATAAGTTCCTCATGAACTGACATGTAAACATTTGCAAATTGCTGGTAAATCCACAAGATACCTGTTTTTGGAATCAAATTGTAATTGGAAATGAAAAATTAACTTATTTTCATAATCCTAATAAGAAAAATAAGTGGGATCATTCTGGCCAGGTTTCAGAACCTGTTATCAAACAAAGGCAATTTGAACAGAAGTTCCTGTTATATATTTAGTGGAATATCAAGAGGGCATTGCACTTTGAGCTTGTCTCAGATGATCATGACTTATGCTCAAAAACTGCAGTGCGTATATGATGCTTTGAAAGCCTGCTACTCAGTATTGGTTAAACAAAAATGTCTATGCCTACAGCATGACAATACATCAGTACACATTGCCTATGTGACCAAGTGTAAACTTGGGAGCCTGGAAGTGCTGCCTCAACCTGCCTACAGTCCAGACTTTGCACAATCAAATTACTACCTTTTCTGAGCCATGGGTGCATGGACAGAGATTCAACAATATTGATGAGGTTGAAAACAGATGCAGGGAATTTTTTTCACCTCTAAACCAGCCAAATTGTATAAGCATTGAAATAAGCTTCTGGCACAATGATGGCAACAGACAATAGAATATGATGGGATATATTCTGATGAATAAACTCTTTTTGTATATAATTTGTTTGAACTGTTAATTAAAGCTTGAAATATGAAAAAATATAACCTAGTATGTATGTACAAGGTGCGATGGATAAATTGTCATCTAAATTATGCAAAAATAATAACACTGACATCTCATTTTAACAGATATATTTACCAAAATTACACAATATTTTGAAATACTAAAGAGTAAATTTAATCAGTAAAATCACCACCGGCTTCAACCACAGCCCCCAGACAACTCTGGAATCTCCTACAATTCTTCTGGACAGTCTCCTTGTTTAAGTTGGTGAATGCTGCCATAATCCTTGCCTTCAGTTCATCTTTGATGTGGTTACAGAAATTGTCTGAAAGCCATAATTGGCTTCACCTACTTGTGTGGCATGGTGCAGAGTCTTGTTACCAGACATAGTGCTGCCCTTGGCCAAGAAGGTGACTGCTGGGAAGACCCTACCTCCTCAAGGCACTTGATATAGGTCTCCATGTTGAGTCTGAGGCCCTGTGAGAAGATGCATAATGTCACCAACTCTAATGATCTTTCCAGATACCATGATGTTGACTGGATATTTGGTTTTCATCACTCTCAGTACATCTTTTGGGGACACAGTATCCTCTGCACTGTCCTACCATAATGTGCAGTCAACAAAATCAAAAAAAAAATACACGCATGCACAAAATTAAAAATATAAAATGTGACAATTTACTTATCGAACTCTGACCCCAATAATCATTCTACAGTCAAATGGTGTTA